ATTCCAACAAATTATTTCGATGATTTAATAAAAAATTATTTTCAGATCTGTTTTTAGCAAAATTTTTAGACCTTTCAATAAAATTGTTCTTTCCGTGTATTAAAAATTTTTACTTAATCGTTATTTTTTCTAATAATTTTTATATCAATTTTATTACTCATGGTATAATATCTAATATTTCTTTTCGGACAATATAAAAAATACAAATCAGATAAATTCGTTTAATGCAGAATTTGTCCATCGTTATTTCTTTATGCAAATTGATGCTCAAATGATTCATGAATAGATACCGAATTTCCTTGCTGTTTTGAAGGTTCACGCAACGTGCCTTAGATAGCTTTAAAGAATCCTACTTCTTTTTGATTGGAATAGGTGTAGTTTCATTGGCTATTAATTTATTACATGTAAGTTATATCTATAATGACGCTTTACCAAATGGATTCTATAATTCGATCTCACAAATTTTTATATATTTTATTTTAACATGTTAATTCCAGGCGATGCAAGCTGCATTAATTATAGACAATTTGAATGAGCTAGCAATATCTACTTTCTATGTCATTATTCATTTTTTTTACATTTTCATAGGGAATTATGGCGGGCAGACAATTACGGATCATAACGCAGATGTGTTAAAGGCGTTGTAAGTTGTTACAAAATTTTGCGTAATCTGTACATATATGCATAATTAATTATTAGAAGCAAATCTAATAATAAGATATACATATTTTAATTGTGCAATAATAAATAAAATAAATAATAGCTCATTCAACAGATTACAAATAAATTTTTAGATATCACATAAAATGGTATATGGCACCTGTACAAGTGCAAAAATTAATTCTTTTCTTAATGTTAAAAAATACAAAAAGTTTCGGTATAGTCATTGGAGGAGTATATGTTGCGTCATTAGAAGGTTTTATCACGGTGAGAAAATTCATAATTAACAATCAGTGCAATTATTTAGCGAATTATGCTAATGCGATCGTGCGTATTGCACGTTTTGCATTAGTAGTTCCATAATTATTATTATTATTATTAATCTCTATGCAATATCACAATTTTATTTCTTATAGAAATATGTTTAATTCTAAGAAACAATATATGTATATAAGTAATGATACTATATGATAAAAGATTTTTTTTAAATCACAATTTCAGCTTTCAAGTATGTCGTTATCTTATTTTATGGTAATCTATTCTGCGCAATAATGAACATGTATTATAATAAAAAATAATATAATTATAACAAATTGCACGTGAGTTGTTGTCGGATTAATAATGTTTCATCAAAAATATTATAAATAAATGTTAAGATAAATATTACCATAAGAGAAAATCGCAATTGTCATACTTTACTTTATTCATAATTCTTACTATCGTTTTAACGTATTATACAAGTATAATATTTCTTATGTTATAAAATAAAAGTAGATACGATGTCTTTTGCGACGTATTAAACTATAAAACGAAGTATGGTCGCGAAAAATTTTTCTGATGTTATTCGCGTCAGTTAGAAGTTGTAGTAAAATGACATATAATTATATATCAAAATCGATCGTAATTGTGAAAAACGACTTTCGAACGGCGCATTTGTTCTTTAAATTATTATATCATTTAATATTACTCTAAGGGTATACCTTCGATGTTTTTTACGGAAAATATAAGGGGAAAATAAGCGGAATACGTAATGCAACACAACTGGAAGGGAGAAAAAGAATAATTTCCGCGATAGCCTTGCAGTCGAGTTTCGGCATTTGAAGAGAAATGTTTGTCTCTGCGAGTAAGTACTATAGTGTAAACCGATGGCTTTTACTAATATGCGGTTTATGGCCTTATCAGAAGTCAAAATTCAGAAACATTCAGGCTACATTCTACCTCACTATTATATTCTCATTTATAGTGCTTCAGGTATGATGGCTTTATACTTGCAGTGACATAAAATGAATTTTAAAAATCAAGATATGTAATACATATGTTAAGCGCGAATAATCATCGGATATTATAAAAATACAAAATTAATATTTTAGCTTACGACTTTCATCAGCGCGGACTTCACTATAAACCTAGTCACGAAAGTATTATCGATCGTTCTTCCTATGTTAGTATCCATCATAAAACACGGCGCCTTCTTCTACAACAGCCGAAAAGTAAGTCACTCTTTCTATCGTGCTGCCTATCATAAATTGAGCGAAATATATTTGCATAATCGCAGATGAAACATCTTATAAATCTAATATGGTATCACTGGACTATAATTCAGGATAAACAAGAAATTGCAATATTAGAAAAGTATACCAAATTCTCCAGGCGATTTACAATTTTTATACTACGTAAGGATGTCAGGCAATATTATTTTTGATGCATTTAAAATATACTGAAAAAATTATCTTTACTATTTTGGTCATAGACGCCTTTGCTTTGAGCATGTTCATTATGATGATAGGCCACATATGGCCAGTGATTTTGGATACAATGGTACCGTTGAACTCATCTCGGCCACGACATTTCTACATTTTAGTGGAATGTTTTATCGATGAAGAAAAATATTTTTTTTGGCTTTTGTTACATACTATTTTGACTATATCTACAGCATTGATAATGATGATATCCGTTGGAACTATGCTCATGAGTTGCATTTTCCATGCTTGTGCAATGTTCAAAATTGCAAGGTAAAATTTTATGTATATTAATAAAATAATATAATATAATATAATATACTCATATGTATACTCTCTAAATATTCTAGAGTGAGATTCACTTCAAAAGAGTGAAAGTTCACTCCAGAAAATTTAGAGAATATAATAATCATTAATTTATTAAATATAGCGTTATTAACAAATGAATAGTATAAAAGATTTAGAACTTATTTTGTTCGATTTATTAATGCTAAATAACAATTATCAAAGAGATGGATCATCGATATTTTCACCCGATTGTTAAACAATGGATTTTAAACAATTGCAACAGTTTAAACCGATTTCTAAATTCTAATTAACAATTACTGCATGGACACTATAGGCAGATCTCAGATATCATTGTTAATTTGTTAAAGAATTAGTTGCATTACCGAATTTCTCAAAAACTTTGTCCTTTGCTGCTCGACAATAACTACTAATTATTTCTATCGCTACGTGTTTCGCAACGATTCATGAAGATCGAAAAACTAACGCTTACTCGAACACGCTCGCTCACTAGCACATATTAAAAATACGTACACATTTTTTCATCCCACATTTGGTAATTCTGCAGTTGGCATCGCTCGATATAGCCATTCTTCTCTTTGATTTTGAGGCGGTTATGGATTGCCATCATTAAATGATTCGTTGATAGCTGGTTCATCACTTTGCGAGATAGACCAGAGCTTCATGATCCGCTCCTACGCTTGTAAATCGATTTTTCGTGATACCAACGTTTCATACAATGATATGGTTTTTTAATGTTTTTCTTACTTTATGAGAAAGACGTATAGAACCCTAAGAAAGGCGTATGCACCCTTAGATCATCGAACTGTGTCCGTTTGATGATTGTGTTTGAATGTAAACATCGTTTACTTATAATATTACACCATAATTCTGGCGAATCGAGATCATGACATCTGTTTCCGCCACGTGGCGTCATATTTCTGTGTCCTCTTCTTCCTGCTTATCGTCGTCGTCACTTTCACTTTCCGTCTCACTGTCGTCTTTTCTAGCGGCATTTTTAAGTCGTATTTGCAACATCGCCTTGTCACCGGTCAAAGCCCAAATTTCACAAGCGCATCTTTAATTCTTGTCTTTGATTAATGCATCAACAATAACATCTTCATCTTCTTCGTCGTGTGCCTCCTGAAGAGGCATACATTCATTTCTCATCTTCTTTTCATACTTCTCATCTTTTTTTCATACGTCTTCGATGGCTCCCTTTGGCACGTTCGTCGGCTTGCTTTTCGTTACCGCTCAGTGCCTCTCGCATCGTCCTTCGCCAATGCTACTTGTAATCTTTTTTTTATTGCCACTTTGCTTGCACCAGTCTCAATCCATTTTTTCGAGATCTTATCTTATCTCGTCTACGAACAACGAATCGATTTCTTTTTTCATGGTTGTCTCGTTTGATCCTCCATTTTGTTTAAGATTTTCATCTTCCGCAGCCCTCACACCAATTAGCATGTTTAACCATTCATTTCATCGCGTTTTTCGTCTTCGACTTAATCTTTCGTCTCCCACCATCTTTCTTTATTTGTTACTCTTCGAAATATACCCAGAACCACACGCGAACCGATTCTAGATCTTCTCTCACAATGTAAAATTAGTCGCACGAGCAATCCTAAATATTTTTCGAAACTTCATTCTTTCCTCACTATATTCGATGAAGGGAATTATTCCTGTCGTTAAGTCTCTACGTGTTTCCCGACGATTATATATGTATATGTAGTATGACATATCTATGTAATCTTTAATATTTAATCTTTATATTATTAATAGATGTAAGATTTTTAATGTGGTTAATAATTTCTTTATCTTCTTAATTAGAATATAATCACAAACTTTTTGAATATTTAATGTCACATCTACAGCTATCGCATTAGACATGCAGTGACCGAGGATTTTGAAGCATCATCTTCCCAAAAAGATCATGCAATTTATAAAAAAATAATTAACGGAGTGCATATTCAACGAAAAGCTATAGAGTTGGTATTTTTTAACAAAAATTTTAATATAATATAATAATTAAATTTAGAAAAAGTGGCTTACAATTATATTAACATATATTATGCTTAATTAATATATTTTGAATAGTCATTTAAAATATTGTATTTCTCAATCTTATCTACGTATACTACATATTTTAATAACAGAAAAATTTTTATCTTTAAAACTTTATTCTTAATCATTATTAAAATATACTATCAATTTTTTATTCAGGTATTGCAAGTAACAAGTTACTTGAATATCATTAAATGAAGATTTAAAACTGGACTTTAGAAAAAGTTTTGCAACAAATATTTCTGAATTGTAACTTTCTTGACTTAAATCTTGACTTAAAGAGACAGTTTAATGAAAAACTTTTTATTTTTATGCATGTCTCATTGCCATTTATAACCATTCACATTATATTTAGCATTTAATATAAATATGAATATTATAACTAAATTATATTATTATATTATTTTATTGAAGATTTGCTGATTTAATCGTGTCCGATATGAAAATACCTTTTTTCATATTACTTACTGTGGGGATAGCTTCATTAGTTCTTAATATATTTCAAGTGAGTGTCGATCTTTCAAATGGGAAAATGTATTAATCAATTTATTTCTACAATTAATAAAGTACTCATTTTAAATCTACATATTAGACATAATTCTAGGTTTTCATTGCATTATCCACACATGATATGAATGAACTGTTTACAACCTTTACGTTTGTTGCCGCACAATTGTGCTATATGTATTTAGGAAATTACGGTGGGCAGATAATTACGGATCATTACGTCGAAGTATTTAATGCGACGTAAGTAGTAAAATCATTTGCTATATAATGTATTTGAAAAATGTACACTTAAATATATTGAAAAAATAAGATCTGTATGATACTGTATGATACATAAACAAATATTTGAAATATTTCATAATTAAAATTTTTGCTCTCTTTCTTATGTAGATGTGATTCATACTGGTATATGGCACCATTACGTGAACAAAAATCGTTATTGTTCATAATGCAGAGGACTTCAAAAAACTTTTCTTTCGTTTTTGGAATATTTGTAGTCTCGCTAAAAGGTTTTTCTACGGTAATGAACACAATTAAATTTGTAATAGTTATATCCTAAATTTCATCTAAACCAAAACGTAAATTTACAGCTTGCGAGCATGTCAATATCTTATTTTACGGTAATCTATTCCATAATTTCAAGATAATTATTTAAAAGAGAAAATCTTTATTCATAGAATCTTGTACTAATTATTTTAATATTGTCAAATGAAAATATTTATTCAGGTAATTTGATGTTACTAATTATCTTAATGTTGTATTATGTTGCATTATATATCAAATATGTATTATGCAGCTATATAATTACAAGTTTTAAAATGTAAACAAGTTTATATAGGTGTATATGCTATAGGCTTTAATCTATATTTATGTATAATCCATACATACGATATAATTATATATATATATATACATATATATTTTGCAGCCTTTTTGTATAATCAGCCTTTTTGCAAAAAGGCTAGCCTCTTTGCAAAAAGACACCTTTTTGCATAACGCCTTCGAAAATGATTTGGGTTAGGGTTAGGTTTGGGTTATAGGGGGGGCTCAAACATACTGCCTCCACATATGTACTTTACAACGCAAAGCCAGTGATCCACATGGGTTTGCAATGAATGTTTGCAATAAATAACTTAACCCAAATCATATATTTCTTGGCGTTATCCAAAAAGGCGTCGTTTTGCAAAAAAGCTGATTATACAAAAAAGCCTGCGACATATATACACATATATATATATATATA